TACACTATCGTAACCGTAGCCCTCTTGGGCCGGTTACCGTAGGGGGTTGTCGATACCCCCGGGTACCGGTTAGTGCGGTACATGTACCAGCTGCCGTCTGAATGGGACTTTCGTTTGTTTGGCTGGATGACGATCACTGCCCGCGACTTGCACGCGCAGTACGGGCACATCTTCTGCCCCGGAGGGGCGTCATCCGCCCGTGGGTGACTAAGGCATGACCACGCCTTCGCTCCTGAGGAGCTGCACCGTGCTCCAGTGTGATGGGGCACATTTCAAGTGGGTCGCCGAATGGGTCTTGTATTAGTGAGGTGATGGACACCAAACTGTGTGAATGTAATGTATTGTCGTGTGGGGAACACGGGGGGGGTTGAAGGAGACCGGTATTGCAGAAATGGAATTAACTATCATGTTAATGGGTTTCTGCGAAGGGCGACGATTGGGAGGGCGCGCAACGGCCAGGTCGGGCCGTTCCGCCTTTTGGGCAGTTTGGGCCAGTCATAAGCCGGTTTCTGTCACCTCTGTACTCGGGGTCAGTACTGCCCGACGTATCCAAGGGAGCTTGGGTTGAACCTTGTACCTTGGGCGCAGCCAAGGGGACCGGTCAAGCTGGCCCTTGGGTTTGGCGGGGAGTTTGGCGGCAAGTGGGAGTGCTATTTCAGGCGCGACCCTTGGCGCCCCCCTTATCTTGTTTCGCACCCGCCCGGCCCACCCGAATAGAGTGAGTTCGGTTAGCTGTGGGATGGAGAGGGAGTTGAGTACGAGAAAAGGGGAGCTGACGCTGGGTTGAGTCACTGTCAGAGTGGCATTAAGTACTATGCGAAGCGAGGGCACATTTCAAGTGGGTCGCCGAACGGGTCTTGTATTAGTGAGGTGATGGACACTAAACTGTGTGAATGTAATGTATTGTCGTGTGGGGAACACGGGGGGGGTTGAAGGAGACCGTTATTGCAGAAAATGTCTGAAACTACATTTTGAGCACACAGAAATGTGTCTGATGTTTTCTCTCTGACAGGACATGGTCCGCCACTTTGTGCAGTGCACAACTGCAGCCCACCAGTGCTTTTTCTGCGCATTCATGACCAAACACCAGTTTGCAGCCACAAATTGCACATTTACACAGATTGCGTGCACACACACCACTACAACTCACAGCCACGAAATATATCAGCTCTATTCTGTATCCCTCTGACTTTCAAATGCGCTGGAATTTTCATTTTCATCGTCGCGTCCTCGTCCACATATTTGAACATGCTCCAGCGACCCTCAGGGGAAATGCCACATTCTAGCGTGTGCCCTCATGCTGCGGCCCCTCCAAGCTTCCCTTCTCCACTAGGCAAACCTTTCTCGGGGCCTCTCCATGACGGACGCCACCATCTCCGTGTCGATGGACTTTGATGGGCAGATCTCCGATGGCAAGCCATCGGCGGCTGGCCATGATGTGCGGTAGGTAGGCCTCCTTCACCAGGCTGCGATGTGCTTTTAGGGCCTTCGCGGCCTGCTTATCCCTTGTGTTCTGCCTTGATTATGCGGTGGGCATCTTCTCGGCACCCTTTAGGCGCTTGTGGCCATCCCCGAATCGGATTCAAGGGATGCCTTGAAGGGATCGTTAGGCCAATGGCCTTACAGGCGTGTCGCTGAAATGTGCCTTTGTGGGCGGCGTGCCCGCCCTGTTTCCACTGTGAGCAGGGGTGCACGGCCTCCTCGGCCGCCATCCCCCACTCGCTTTCACAACGAGAGGTTTGTGGTGTGGCACTTTGAGGTGTTGCGGGGTTCCTGTTTATGCCAGGGACTTTACACCGCCCTCGTTCTCATTCCTAAGTTTGCGGCAGTCCGCTCGTAACCAATTTTTGCAGTGTTTTCTCTGTTTTCTTTTCCTTTTGTATATCAGCAATGATGGTATACTCAGGCCACGCCATACAATGTGCACAAAGCGTACGGTAGATACCCATCGTACGCCAATTACATAAATGATTACCCAGTGAAACGGTGGTAATTATGTGGCATCATGAACTCGTTGTAATTTCAGGAATCCCGGTCACTTACATGACAACCTGGTGGCCTCGATGACATCGGCAGCTCAAATGAAATCAACAAACCTCGAGCGTGCCTGGTATTGTGCAACGGTGCCAGTCAGGCTTGGAAGCGATTGTTGGATGTCTTTTGGAAAATAGGACTTGGATGTAGAGTCGCTACCTGTCCTCAAGAAAATAAACATTAACGTGGCTTGCAACTTGAAGGCAATGGGAGCTGCCCCAAAGGCCGTAATTTGATTCACTCTAACGCTTTCCTCAAAGAGTGAAATTTGAAAGAAGTTTTGAAACAAGTCATGAGCTGTCTGCCTTTGATCAACGGCTTTATTGTGCATCTTCTCACATTCTTCTGATTTTGCGACTGCGTATTCTCTTAGCACCCATGGCCTGCTCCCTCCTCCTCCCCCGTCCATAGCATCCATTTCAATTTTCTCATCAAGACACTATTTTGATCTCAGTACGCTCAACTTAAATGTACCGAATCAGAATAGTGTCTTTTGTGAATCACCAAATGTGCATTGAAATATCGGCCAGCCAATACTGCATCGTTCGTTCATTCTAAAGACATCTGTCTTTCAGAATGAAGGGTATATCCATATAGCGTTCGGCGCGCCACCGATGCCACAATGGGTAACTTTCCCCTGGGCACGTGATGCTCAACTACTTCGGCGAAGTAGTCGACAATTGTCCTGCTCAAAGCTTCATTGCATGATGCACCATTTCAGGTTTAGCAACAATGTATCCCATAAGAGATATTATCGTACACCGTATCATACATCGTATCGTATATCGTATCGCGATTTGTGGTGCATCTGTACCGCTTATGCTGTTGCAACTGTCACGCACATTTGCTGCCTCTTTGCAAGGCCGTCACCAAAATCACACCCCACCTTCGCTTCCTGGCGGCCTCTAAGCGTAGGTGGCGCTTTTAACGTGTTATGTTGGGCACCAAGGAACGGTTCATATTGAATCACTTGAATTAAAGGGAAGCAGTTCAATTTTTGCGCATCGTCGCATTTTGGGGCAAGTGCACGTGGATCTTGTATGCCACGGCGGCACGCGTGGGAGAATGCATTCCTGTAGCTGTGCGGAACGATGGGCCAAGGACCAACATGTGATCTTGTGCACTGCGCGCTGCCGAATCTGCAGTATTGATTGCAGTATTGATTGCAGTATTGTGCATCGTTGACTCAGGTGGCCACCAATCCGTCCAAGAGACGCAGCCCAACATCTCCTTTCCGTTTCTCCTGGTCGCATTGCATTTTGAACGCGATCAGCCCCAGTCCTAGTCAGTCTACAAGCATGTCGCAACAAACCCAGAGCCACATTGGAGATCGGGGGTTCAATGGCCCCTGAGCCAGCCGCCCTTGAGCCACGAGTGACTGAACACGACGATGACACCAGAGTTGAGGCTGCTGTGCACGCTACAGCATCCAAGAAAGGCACCGTGCGCAGTCTCGTGCCAGCGACAGGCTCGCGGGAGGCTACACAGCACTGACAGCAATTCGTTACACGACAGCAATTCGTTACAGAAATCGAATGTGGTAACCCCAAGCCGCTGCCGCTGCGGCCTGTTGCTGCCACTAAATAAAACATATGAATTCAACACAATCGTAAGCTAGATGATAAACAAAATCCTCGCAACGCCCCCTGTGACGCACTCAGAGACATGATTGCGGTTTTCCCTTTATTTCCCGTCCGCCAGCCATCTGGCAACTTGAGCCCGATAGCACAACCACATCAGTGTCGACGCATATTCCCCACCCACATCGGCAACCCAGTACACAGCGTACTGTACATACGAAAAGAACAAACTGAAAATCGTCCCAGCACCCACCACCCATAGCGCTCTGTCGCATGCATCCTAAGTCAAAAATTCCAAACCTGCAAGCCTCCCTAGGAGCAGCATGTGGTCGATTCCGTCAATATCGTCCCCACCCCCAAACCGAAATTCATTCCATCAATCAACAATCTCCGAATACAAAAAGTTTCATCCCTTGCCAATGGTCTCCTCAGTTTCATCCAATCATCCATTTTCGTCCCAAGCACTCTCCATGTTTTACAGTCTAGTGCACCCACATCGAAACATAGGTCTGACATGCTCATCTAGATATGACTGCACTGCCCCACAGCGGCCATTTTCATCAACCCAGACCTCAGCAGACCAAGGGTGACATCGGTGGTCCAGAATGTACAAATTTGTAACACTCCTTGGCTTTCCGCCCCTCCCAATACCTCCAAGTCATTTGCATATCTGTCTTTTGCCTCCTGCACTATGCTGTTGATGCACTTCAGATTCCTTACTGTCCTGCTTTAGAGTTATGGCAATAGCTTTACTCCCACCAGGCAGACTGCAGCAGCTGCCCTACGAAAATTAAGCGGTGGTGAATCCTCACAAGCAAAATTGAAACTTCAAAATTCAGCCATCCACAGTTTCAAAACGCACCAATCTAATTCAGCTGTAGGCAGAAGGGTAAAGACGACAAGAATAATCAATCAGCCCCCACATTACCACGAGCCACAAAATGCAGGCGGGCAGCTGGGGTTCTCAATTCTCAACAACAGGGCCACGACTACTGTCCGCTTCAAACCCTGAAACACTGAATTCCGCTTTCATGAGGATATCACACAGTCTATTGCTATTTTGGTCGAATCGGCACCTGCTGACAAAAATCTGGCTGCCGTTTGACCAAAATTGCTTTTCCCCAACAGAAGTAAAAATCGATGACTTGCGACCATTTGCCTGGCATCTTCCTAGGTGCGCAATTGCTTTTCTCTATACCCACCCAAATCTGACAATATCAATTCCATCCCGTGCACCTGGAGCGTGTCCAGCTGCCAGCGTAAGCCAAACACTTCCTTCAGAGCCCCAGGGTAGACGATTGCACATCAAAAAAATCCTGGGACCCACACATCACTGCACACGCAGAGGTTGATGCTCCGCTCACAGTAGAGCTCGCAGAGATTTTCTCACAGCAGTCCAGAGACGCCCTCCAGTCCGATGGCTGGTGGATAATACACGTTCCCTTGGACCCCAGGCCCCTGGCCAATGCCAGGCCAGCCCTGAGATAGCAATGCTGCAGCTGCACTTGCGTCCCCTGCGCTGTTGCAACCATCAACCCCAGGTGCCATTCCCATGTCGCACTGCTGCTGTGGTTGCAGTGCCAGGATGGCCTGCACCAGGTCTTCCACACCGTAGCCGCCCACGTCACCCATCCCATCAGCTTGCACATGACCAAAGTCCTGAAAGGGGCTGGGCATGGTACACATCGCCCCATGAAGGAACCCGGCACCTTGATTGTAGGTGTCTGCCACGGGCAGGTCAACAACCTGGCCACTGCCAAGACTGGGCGCACCCATGGACACTGCAGGGGGGGCGGCACTGGCCAGCATGGGTTGGATGGCAGTATTGACGCCCCCAAAGCTGGTGGCTGGGGCACGGGGAGGCAGGTGCATCATCCTGGTTTGCCCCCGACCATGCACTTCAGGCATCGATGAAAGAGACAAGTTCGCCAGGAGTGTGCGAGTCATGTCCTCAGCGTTGGTGTCAGCGGCCACAGGCAGCTGGGGTGCCTGGTGACCCATGGATTGCAGCAGTGAGTTGAGTGTGTTGGCATCGCAGGTGCGGCTCTCTGACATAGAGCATGCCCTTGGTGGGGGACGTTCCACCTGTCAGACAAAGGCACTCCAAGCATGTAGTGTGCTGCAGGACAGTGGTGGAGGCGCCCAGAACTGTGTGATAACATAATGATACAACATAACTATGACATGACATTATGAAATTATTGACATAACATAACTATAACACGACATAATGATATTCCAACGTGAGGATGCATGTGTGCAATTGGCACTGTGTCTGCACAACACACAACCAGGGCTGCAGTTTTAGCGCACCAATATCCTGAAGGAAGCACAGAAATGGAATTTCCATTATCGTCACAACACATTCGAGCACACAGTGTGTCCTGCACCATACACTAGATATCTGACAGCATTCTGCACAATGGACTGGCCACAGCCATGCACCATGCACAGGTGCAAGCACACAAGTGTGTTGTGCCCTGCTGTGCTGTTCTCACCTTGAAGGGGTCCGTTCCCTGCCCAGGGATGTTTGCCAGGAATTCCAGAGGCACGGAGAGGGCCCTCCTGTGCACCGCACTGTTCCCCACCCCTGACATCTTTGCGGCAGTCTCTTCCACTGTTGCGGGCATTCCTGTGTCCTCGCTGCCAAACCCGTCCCAGGCATCGTCAGCTATGGGGAGAGACGGCCGACAGGGAGGCACCCGAAGCTCTTCCGGCTTGTGAGCAAAGAAGCACACCTTCCTGGTGCACGATGTGCCGTCGCGACACATGCGGGTGCGGTATCTGTTGCAGGTGTGGCAAGGAAACGGGTTAGCAACAGCTGCACCAAGCCACAGACAAAGAGACGTGTTCATTGGTAAGTTGGGAGCTCAATAGGATGGTTGTCGAGCGAATTCTCACAGATGCATTCGGAAGGATTCACAGGCTAATGGCCAGAAGGAATCACACATTGTGCATCGTGTGCCCCGTTCTGGCCAAGAAAACACAGCTGCAGCAGTGGAGGCCATCGGATCTTGGGATAGACCATCGGCCCGTGCTGGAGGTGCCAACAGCATTACTATTGATGTCAACATCCCTGTTGTGATTGTCGGTTCTTGTTCGACACCCTGTACCCCAAACCACTGACACTGACGCTGGCCTTGTCAGCAGCAGAAGAAGGGGTCTTCCAGCACAGGAAGTGGGGGCTACTGTAATGCGTGCTCCGATGCGGCACCCCCCCGCATCTGCGCACCCTTTTGACTGACAGCTACGGATAGCTACTCCATGCTCCACCAGGATCGGCCGTGAACTCTGGCTGAAAGAATCGGATACGATCCGGGATTGACTGGGCGTCCACTCCCACTTTTTGTCACCATCGGCGCCCACCACGCGCCCCGGATACGGCGATCGCGCCCCGGCACGTGATCGCCCCTCGCTGCGCTGCAATTTCCGGCTCGGAGGACCCCACGCTCGCGCAGGTCGCCGCCCCCGCTCACCTGGTTGGGTGCAGCCAGTACTCGAAAACGTTGTGCGCATACGGGCACTTGTCGCCGCGTGGGCAGTCTTCCCCCTGAGCAGAGCGCAAAGCGAGAGCAACCGTCACTCGCACGGCCGCGGAAAGCCATCGGCAGTGTCACCCTAAGTGGTGGTGTCCCCACAGGAATGAACGTTTTCCGGCCCGCGGCTTATGCACGATCTCCGAAGAGCACGGGCCACACAGGCGCGCCGGGCCACTCGACACACCTAGGCGGATGCCATTGCGGCTGCCCTACGGTTTCATGGACGTGGCCAGCAGTGGATCAAACCAGAACCTGAATGCACACGAGTACGACAGGAAGGGCTGCCGTGGGGCCCCACTGGCGTCTGGGTCGCGCGCCGGCGGCGGCGGCGCGGGGAGGTGTTGGAGTGGGTCGCACACACGCGCGGCTGGCGAGAGAATTTTCAACCAGTGCCCCCACGAACATTCCGTCCACAGTCCATCTCCCGAGTCGCCAGTCTCGACACAGCGGAGACGTCACGGAGCCTGCGTTCGGATCACGCCGCTGTTTGGAGGCCAAGTTCAGTCTCGCCCGTGCGCACAAGTGCGGGCGGCGCGGAGTTTCTCCCCTTGGACCCATTTGCCGCCGGCGCGAAGCTGTGGGGCCCGCACCTTCTTCATTTCCGGGCAGGCGATCGCCGTGTACTTCACGCCCCGGGGGTCCCTCCGCTTGGCGCGCTCGGAGAAGTGGGCGAACGGGCAGGTGGACCAGTCGTGGCAGAAGCGTTTCCCGCACGGCAGCACCTGGGACACGAGGAGGCGAGCGCTGTTAGGGCTGCGTCCAACACAAGCGCGGGGGGAAGCAAGGGACGGAGCAGCGTGGCCCCATTGCGGATCTCACCTTGTAGCAGTACATGCGGAAGTCCACCGACATGAAGAGCGGGTCGTCCTCTTTGAAGTCGCCGTCGCTGGAGGTGGACCGCCGCGGAGGGGCGGGGGAAACCTGCAGGATCGCGGGCATTCAGCAAACCCCCCATGCGCGTGACAAAGCCAAAAACGGCAGATCTGGCCGCCACGGCCGGGGCGCGGCGCGCCGACAGCCCCGCCGCGATCGTCACCTGCTGCTCGGCGGCCGCCTCGCTCGCGTCGGCGAGCGCGGGGCCCGCATCGACTCGCAGCTGCATGTTGTCGACTATCGCTTCAAACTGACCCGGGGAGAGATGCGTTCGACCCAAGGGTCGGGCTGCGCGCGAGCTGAGGCGACGATGGGCCCTTCGAGAAGGGGCGTGGCGGCGGCCAGGACACCAACTGCATGAACCAAACTCCGCCGAGCGCACGCACACCACAGCTCCTCGCACCGCCCAGAGATTTGCTCCACGGCAACCGTCCCCGCCCACTCAATATCTAGGAAAAATCTGGGTGCCGCTTCTGCCGTCCAAGGGGGCGCCGCGTAGGCGGCGACGTGGATCCCTCAGGGCTTCAGGGTCTGGGGAGGCGGACCGGACCCGGCGGCGGGTGATGGGGGGCCGCCTGTGATTCGCCAGGGCGGCCCCCGGCGCCGCGGTGCGCCTTTCCTGGGGCGGTTTGTGTGACACGTCCGGCTTTTGTGGGGATTGGGGGGAATCCTCGCGGACAAAGTTGACCCGTCAGCACCTCCGACTTACTGATGGGAGTGTGTCAACCAACGGACGGTGGGGTTTCAATTTGGATTCGACTTGACGATTGTGTGGGGCTGGCGCGCGAGCTGCAGCACTCCCAAATCGCAGCACGATACTGAGTGGCGGCAAAACGCCGGTTGCTGCTTGCTGGCATAAAATTACTCCCTGCATCAAATCGGTGACTGCTTGCACCAAGTCACGTGCACACTTTGTCCTAACCTCAGTTTTAGGGTTAGGTTTAGTTCAGGGTGAGTTTTAGGGTTAGGGTTAGGGTTAGGACAGGTTTAGGTTTAGGGTTTAGGGTTTAGGTTAGGTTAGTTTTGACGGAGTTGGACATGATCGGGGGCGCATTTGGCGAGCAGTTCGTTCTGCGACAGTGGCTTGTTCTTTTCTGCCAGGAAAACTCTTCGTGTTCCGCCCTCACACCTGATTCTAAACACCTCAAATCAAGCTGTACCTATCGAACCAGGTTCCCTTATTTGCCCACAGTCGCTGAGCAGCGTAGCCCAGACAGCCCGCACTTGGGCCCCTGGGGCGGGGTGCTAAAGGGCAAAATATGGGGTTACGCAGAGCTGCTCCAAATGGCCGAATGGCGCATAACCCTTGGGCCGCATTGCGGTCGCCGTCAACACCGGGTCGCCGGGAGTTCATGTTCAACGAACGACGACACATCGACAGCCGTCTTCTCCGTAGTTTGGCAAACAGCAGTAGTGTGCAGGCCAGCCCAATCTCCTGCCACTCGCGACCGCCTCGTTTCTGGCACAGCCGCCAACCTGTTGCCAACCCGGGGTCGCTCCGCCCTTACGCCGATCGAGACCCTCCCGGGTCGCTCTCCTCCCGCTCGAGGCGGCCGCCATGGCGCTGCGGGCATTGGGGGCCTTTGCCTCCCGCCGCGGCGCCTGTCAGGTGCGGGCGCTGGCAGTCCCGATGCTGGCGGGACCCAGCGATCAGCTCTGGGCGCCCGCCGCCCAAGACGCCGCATCCCTTGCCCACCCTGCGGGCGCCGCCGCGCGGGAGCCCGTCGGCCTGGCGCCCTGGAGCCTGATCGCGGTTCGGGGAAAGCGGACGGGCGCGAAGGGCATGCTGGATGCCCTGAGCGACGAGATCGAGCACGAGGAGGAGAACTACAAGGCGGACGAGGTCAGTTCCGCTTGGGGTCCCGTGACCCTCACCAAGGAGTCCGTCGCGGTGTGTTTCCCCGAGGAAAGGGGGCGGCGATGGGGCCGGCGAGTCTGTGTTCTGTCCACCGTGCGAACTCGGATAGCGGTTGCAGATCCGCGCGGGGACGCGGGCCGCCTTGAGTTGCGAGCTGTGGATTGTGTTGGGGCGCATGGGGAGGTGCGGGGCGTAGAAGTGGGGGCTGTTGGGGTTCCCGCTGATGTTGATGGCCCACAGACATGTGTGCAGCGGCATTGAGGTGGAATTTGAATGGCATTTTACCTGGGCATGCGAGCTGTCAGTTGGGTGTTCCAAGTGTGCCTATGCTTATAGATTTTAAATGGGAGGTGTTCTCAGGAGTCGTATTTTCGACAGCTTGAGTCTTGGAGTCGGTACCATTGAGGCAACAATGTGACGCGCTTGATGCACCAGGGCTGTACCCTTGTTACCAAGCACCAGCTTTCATTGGACCCGCAATGCCGTGGAAGTTATGCTGGGCTATCTGTTCATCACATGCGGCCACATCCGAATGCAACCAACTTTTGTCCTGAGTCACTGTGTTGCAAATGTCAAGCTGGATGATGCAGATTGAAGCTGATATCTTAGAAAGAATTTGGGGGAAACAGGTGACCATGTATCTTTTGGAGCAGTCATTGGTGAACATGCTTTGGAGGTGGTACAAGCACTTCAGTTGCTCGCAGACAATGGTGTGGTGCATGTCCCGCTTGCTTGACCACTGATAGGCAGTAACCCTGAGCTCTTGTTGGGGGAAAAAACTTCCTCACAAACCTGCCCCCGCCTTGCAAGTGAGTTTTGTTGATGACGCTGACTGTCTATCAGTGAACATGACACAGCAGGGGGCACAGCAGTGCCCATGGTGCTGGCAACACTCTTGTGATAGCTAGATCATATCGCTTTAGCCACAAACGAGTTTTTTTGAGAAACGATCCTTGTGTGGCCGCCTGGCATAGACACTTGAAAGCGGTCCCCCAAATGGATTTCAACTGGAGGACATCCCTGGAAAGACGCGCCTACTGCTGAAGAAGAAGCATCGTGACACTGAGGAAATAGAGATTGACTTGCAAGTTAGCGAACAGGTGAGGCTCAGCTGTGACAAGCCACAGTCACAGAAACATGAAGGCCCAGCTTGTTGCTGGCCACTGCCGAGCTGCCAGGGAATTTACCAGACTGGCAGTGGCACGCTGTGCCTGTTGCTGTGCAAGACATTTGGACCTGGACAGTTTAAAGACTGTTCAGTTGTTTGTGGATGGGTAACAAGATAACCAGAAATGTACAGTTAAAATTTGTGTTGCAGTGTCCATGCTTGCATTGCAAGTGGCACAGCGTCACCGTTGGACATGGCAGGCGATCGTGAGCGAGGTTGTCTACAAGAGCTGCGTGTGGGGGCCATCCTTGGGCCTCTGCTTGTCCTGATCTTCAATGCCGAAATTCCTGCCAATGAACAAGCATACATGCAGGCCATTTGGGACCTTCTGTCGTTGGGCACTGTCTTTCTAACCTTTCTGTTGTTCCTGTGCTATCAGCCGCCTCCGACCGAAGCTTACGATGGACACCCAGAAGACCTTGATTCTGACAAGGCAAGAATGAGCTCAGCATCCACCTTGACTGACTGGACAATCGCTTGAACCCCAATCCTATGTGCTTATGTGTCCCAGCCATGTTGTGAAATCCAGCACAATGGCAATTGTCTGTTGTAATGGTGATCATGAGAAACGACAAAATAACTGCGCTGCACTTATCAGACGGTGTTTGGTGTTGTCCACAGCAGCGACAATTGTTCCCAAACAAAACTCTCCCCTGGATGGTGCTCCCCTGAAGACTGCTGGTAGCCAATGCAACAGTACCATGGGGCATATTGTGCTGGACACAAGCCCTAGCACATCCAGTTCAGCAATAGATTGATGACCCATCCCACCAAATGGGAACAATTTTGATGGGATGGTGGTTGGCTTGTGCACTGCTGCTGTTCCCACGTCTGCGCATTCCAGGCATTCGTTTAAACGACTTCTGATTACTCCACAGTTGCAGATACCCCTCCCCTTCCCACCACTGGAGTGAGAATATTTTCCATTGTGATTGAGCTTATTCTTAGTAACTGTCTTTTTTGAGCAATGTTGACAGTTCTGCAGCTGCCAGGCTCCATTAGTTTTCCATGCAGTGCTATTGAAGTTGCACGATATTGACAAGCACTAACAACAAGAGCACTGCTGTGGACAGCAGAGTAAGAAACACCGAATGCAAATGTTCGGCTTGTGCGAGAAAGATCAAGATTGTTTCAGCTGCGGATGTTGCTTCGTTGGTTTCTCGTCAGATTGCTGTGCATAAGCCTAAGAGCTTATTCCTTGCTGGCCAATTTCTTGGGTGCTATCCAGATTCTCAATGTTAGCAAAAAAAAGAATGTTTTGGGTTGCTGACCAGCTGGTAGCTTCTGGTGTGCATTGGCTTCATTATTTGCTCCCATATGCTGTGTGTGTTCATTGAAATTATTCATGCGTACAGACTTTCAAATTGCAGGAAGTGGCCACCTTATGTTCTTGTGTCTTGTGTGCCCAAATGGTAAAAAACCAAAAAAAAAGGAAGAGCTGGCTCCATCTGATGCAATGTGGAGGAAATGTGCAAGAATGCAGCGTGGCAGAACGTCCAGGTGACTCGAGAATGTGCTGTGCTGTGTGCAGGCTCAATCCCGCTCTTTGGATGGCGATGGAGATGAGGAGGATGCTGGAGAGGTCTGCACCTCCCACCCCTGCACCCTCATCCACAAGTCCCACAGTCACTGAACAGCTGCAACATGCAGTCTGGACTGCACTTGGCAGATATCAGCTTTCATGGCAGTGGTGCTGGCTTTCCAGCACACACCATCACTGGTTGCAAAGCACTGGACAAAGCATTTCTATACCGGTTTGGCAATCATGGACTTGTTATGGTATAGCTGATTCCTGATTCGATTTAAACGATTCAGTGAAAATCATAGCAGCTGTTGAATCTCAATTTGCCAGCTGACCTTGCAAATGAAAGCATAACAACTCCCTGCCCTTGATTGAAGAAGCATCTCTGTCTCCTGTTGCATCTGGCTTGCACATTAAGAGTGAGAACCAGGTTGAGTTCCAGTCAGCGCAGAATACCAGTTTTCTGATCATTGATGACGCTTACAGGCATTGCATATGGTTGGTGGCAAATTCACTTTTGGCTGGCGTGTGTTGTTGGGCTTCCATTGTAGTGATTATGGTGGCCTGCAGCGACAGCACAGATTGTATGCTCTGAAGCTGTTGGGCAACCACAATGGGCAGCCACTGCGGTTGTTGTGACCTCGTTACATACATCACTTGGTTTATTATTGCAATATTCTACATGTACCAAATGTCTGCATACTGCGTGCCCCGATCGAAAATGTCCATGCCGAAGGTAGATAAAACAACCTTATATAATATGCATTGGCACTATCTGAAGTACTCTCGTTGCTTGAAAATTGTTCCTTGGGTGCCCTGTTTTTACAGCTGTTTGTTTGTTTGGTGCTATGGATGCTGACTCTCCCTTGTTCTCTGTTGTATGCTGTAAAGTTGGACTACACCGCGTTGTTCAACGTGACCGTGACCAAAGGCAATGAGTCGCTCGTCTTCGAGTGTGAGACTGACGGAGATCACGTCGACATACTGAAGATCCTCTTGGAGACCAAGGGCAAATCTGATGTGATGACTGATTTTCTGGGACCGGTGAGCTTCAGGACCAGTGTTGCAGTGGCATCTTTGGCCAAATTAATCGTACAACGGAAAAGAGTTGCAAATATCCTCCACCACAGTAAAAATGCATTTTAGAAGCGTGTGTGCCGTTTTAAATGCCACGAAAACGCGCATGTTGGAAGTGTGCTCGCAGTGTGTAACATTCTGGTTCATGTGTCGACTGGCTGAGTATTGCCTATTCTGTTGCAAGACGTACGAGGAGCTGGACGACGACTTGCAGGACTCCTGCCAGAAGTACCTTGAAGAGCGGGGCATCACATCAGAAATGGGTGACTATCTTTTAGAGCTTGTCCTGGACAAGGAGCAAAGGGAATACATGGACTGGCTCAAAAAAGTTAAAGCGTTTGTGGCCAAATAGGGACGCCCAGGCAGAGCGGGGGTGGGGTGGGGTGGGGTGGGGTGGGGTGGGGTGGGGGGAGCTCTGACACTGCAGGGGGCTTACATTTGGGGATGTGGTCCAGTGGGATTGATGGTATGGCGAATGAGAGCTTGATGTCTTTGAGAAAAGGCAGAGATCGATGTGATCTACAACGAGATGATCGTTGGCTTGCAGTCGCTGTTTGTGGCGGACCACAGGCTGTCATTATGGCATTTTTAAGGTCGCTGTTAGGATTGACTGGCCTGGCATGTATCCCAGCGCTTTCTTTATGGGCCACCATGGCAACAACACGCAGCGTGATACGAAATTGGCTGCAATTGTCAATGTTTGAACAGGGCTGGCTCTTAACCTGCAAGGATTTGGAGGGCATTCCATTGCTTCTACGTCTTGCTCAGGTTTAGGCTGCAAATCTGTGAAGTGTTTGCCAGGAATGCAATGTTGCTGTGTGCTCATTGCCTTTCATGACTCATTCAACGATTGGTGCAGGTAGCCTCACAGGGTTCATGAGACTTACCAAAATGGACTTGGCTTAAGAGCATTCTCCGTAACCACGGCAACCGTCTTGCATTTGGATGGAAGTTCGACCCACTCCATAGCATGTGGGTCATGCTTTTCTGCATCTATGAGAACATCATGAATCACTGCCATTCGCCTCCACGTCACTTTTCAGTGTTGTTCATGGCCATGGGCCTTTGTCTCCCCAATGACGTCGCACTTGAAATGCGAACAGAGCAGTGAATGGCGAGCCGCTCTGCTGTGCAGTCCATTGGTGTACTATGAGGCAAGGCAATCTGACAGGCAACCTACTCGGGACTGAAGTAAATACCATCCTCGTCGTTTGAGAGTGGGGTAACAGAACGATCGAGTCCGGGACATCGTATTGCGAGGGCTGACCGACCCGGGTCCTGGCTGCTGTGCTTTGGGAGTTGGCACTCTGCACTGCCTGGGCTCGTCGCCCTCTGCAAGATTGTCTTGTGCTGCCACAATCAGCTTCGGCAACTCTTTCCCTGAATGGTGTAGTCCAGGGTCAGGGAATCGATGCAAGGTTTCAACAAGGGAGTTCAAAATAGTACCTGAAATAGAAGCGGGTCTTTCTTGGAAATCCAACAACATCATCATTTTGTGAACATACAATGAATCACAGCGCACAAGGGATAACCTGCTAACGGCGCGAGTTCTTCGTTTATTCCATAAGCTTTTTCGACTTTTTTTACGTTTTCCGTTATGCGTTTAATTAGTGGTTTGGGTTTGGGGTGCAACACGTACCGAAGGCCCTGTAAGCAAGCCACTTCACGTCGGGGCTTGCCAATTCAGCAAGAAGCCCCGATTTCGGCGCACTTCAGCACCAATCCAACGGCCCCGCACGCCCCGTTGACGCCCCTCGCAGGGCGCCCCGGGGGCGCGAACGCGCAGGGAGCGGCTGTTTCCTTGCGAGCGCCAAAACCGCCGGGCCTCAGGGAACTGGGTCCTTCCGTCCGATTCGCCACCCCTTTCTCCCCGCCTTCGCCGCCCCCGCGGCGGCAGCACAACGGCGCCCTGAAGGTTCCGGGCGGCTAAACTACGCCCACCTGCTGTCGGGCGCCCTCTGACTGGGTCCGCACAGGTTGGCACGCCTGGGGGGCCAACTTGGGGCTGGGGCCGCCCCGTGGCGTCCTACCCCCTGCTGACTCACCTGGCCCAGTCTGGCGCCGCAAAGGGTCCAAAACTGGCATCCCCTGCGCCGCGGCCCCCAGCGCCCAGGTCGCGGGCGCACCAACCCCCGTGGTCGCGACCGCAGTGCTGGAAGTGCGGCGGGGCGAGCTTGAAGGGAATTGGATCGCGGCACGAGTCTGTGGCGGCCGGGAGGCGGCCGGCGGGGCGGATTACCGGGAGGGGGGGGAGGGAGAGATGGGAGGGCGCGCCCGGGCGATGGTCTCCGTGAAGATGCTGATCCAGGCGGGGCTGCTGGCGCCCGGACAGACGCTGTCCGTGAGGGCGGGGGCGGACACGATGAAGGGCGTGTTGGGCGAGGACGGGAGGATCCGATTTGATGGTGCGACCGCCAGGCGGCACCGGGCCGGCAGGCCGGGCCCCGGTGCAGCTTCGGGCCACGAGCCAATTGGCACTCTGTGCGCGATGGCCGCGATGGCTTGATGCTTCCCGGCGCTTCAGCCCCGGATTCGGATCCGAGAGTGGATTCCGGGGAGCCGATCGAGGGGGCGGTTTCCCCACGGGGTGTCGCATGTGTTGACCATCCCGATGAGCACCCCCCGGTTTTGAATTTCGTGATTGACTCGCGCGGCCCTCGCAGGCGGGGAGTACGCATCGCTTTCCGCCTTCGCGCAGAGGGCGCTGTGCAAGGCGGGGCGCAACAGGAAGGCGGCAGCGGGGTGGAACGAGGTGAAGCTGGAGACTGGCAGGTGCGCAATGGGGCCCAACCAATTCGAATCGCAATGCGGCAAGCATTTGCGCGGCCATCGACCGCCATTGCCAATCCCCCGCTCGGCAAGGCCCCCGCCCGAGTCCCTTGGCGGTCTCGCGGAGAGCGCCGGTACCTCTAAGGAATGTCGATGGGGCATGACTTCGGCTGCTCGATCTGTCACTCGCAGGCCCATCGACGACGTCAGGCGGGAGTACATGAAGCGCGTGGACGGGGGCCGGATTGACGCGGCCTACCAACAGGGTCTGGAGTGGTCGCAAGGGGCCAACGCGGGCATCCGGTGGCGCGAGGTGGGCGCGGCCGTCGATGATGACGATAAGGTGCGCGGATGCGGCATCTGGCAATTTCTGATGGATTGCTCACGATGTCCGAAGGATGATCAACGCCGGGGCTGGGCGTCGCGCGAAGGAGCCGGGATGGCGGCAGCGGCGCAGGTCGCTCGGAGGGTGATTGGGCGTGTGCACCTTCCCACCTGCAATGGGCGCCTTCCCCGTGGGTTCCAGTGTCGCTTCGACTGGAATTTCGGGCCCCGATGCTCCCACTGCAACGCGAGGCCAATCCCAAAGGAGGGCAGACCCGCGGTCGCAGCGCATGCTCTCGCCGCGACGGACGAACTGCATCCTGACAATCTGGGGGGGGGCTCCACGAATTGGGGTTGTGGCGTCATAAGCCAGTTCTCCAGTTTGGGATCCATTGGGTTGGGTGAAACCAAACTACCGGAGGCACCCCTCCATATGCACAACACCAGCTGACACTATTCGAAGCTGTCTTATTTGTTTCGCCTTGGCTCCATGGTGCAACAATACAGCGGTGCTCTCTGTTACTATTGGCGCACAATCAGCTCCCCACCAATGTGAACCTGCAGTGAAGACAACTTGGCATATCAGTCTGGGCCCATCTGCAACTGGATCTGTGCCATTTTTCGCGCTGGCCTTCTTGCCAATGTGAAATGCTTGTGTGCAGGCCATCAGCAAGTAGATCTGAGCCATTTTTCGCGCCAGCCATTTTGTCAGTGTGGAAATGCTTATGTGCAGAAATCGCTGCAGCGGCAGATCACACTGTGCCCCGGTGTACTTTACAAAGCATTTATGTCGCGCATAGGGCATGTCCTTCGGTGCATTGTTCACACCTGCGCTGCATTGCATGACAGAAGGAGCAAGCTCTCAGAAGGCACCGGGCAAACCAGGAAGCAGTGCCTTGATGTGACAGTTGCTTGCTCCGTGTCCCTTGTTGATGAGGTTGCTTCTGTCCATCTGTAGGAAGAGAGGTCGCTTCGGCCCAGAAGAACGAGAAGGTGGGCGGAAGGCAGCCGTCGAGGCCAGGGGAAAGGGCGAGTGGCACCACGGGAAGCAAAGCACAAGGCCCCTGCGCCAGTTTTCACCAAAGTGGCCACCTTTGTGCGTGGCGGTCTTCGAGGCAGGCGCAAAGCTCGCCAGGCTGAGGGAGAACACAGACGGTGTGCCATCGCTAGTTTGGCCGAAGCAGCTGCTCTGGTGGAGGGAGGAGTTTTGAAAGCAGCTGAACTGAAAGAGATTTCGTACCAGACCTTGTCAGGGCCATTCCCGTTTGGGCGGGATGCCTACAGGGGTGGAGATGGTGGGCAGGGTCAGACGATATCGCCCCATGAGTTCGCGCGCCTTGCCCGAAAGCGAGTGGCCGACATGGATGCTCTGCCGGGAAAGGAGCGATGGAAGAGGGGGAGGATGGAACATAGGCAAGCTGGTGAGGACAAGTATTTTGCAGCTGTTGGGCCTTCGGTCAGTGAGCTGCACTGGTGTCCCAGCACTCGTGCAGAGGTTGGAAGTGCTGGAGGGCATCAGGCAAGGGGTTGCCAGGGACAACTCTCGGGTGCTGGCAACCAGAGTCTTGAAGTGAATGGATGTGCAGCGGCCAGGTCTACAGCAGGCCACAAATCTCATGGCTTGCCAGGGGGCTTGGGGAAAGCCTTCAATACGTTGTCCATACGTGAACAGGTGGATAGGAAAGAAGAGGAGAAACTTGCCAGGCAAGATGGGTATTCGTATGGGGAGTGGATAGCACGGTCATCGACTTCCTTCCTGGCAGACAAGAACAGTGGCATCATGCAGGCCCTTTCACTGGAGGGCTTCATGACGAGCCTTACAGAGGTGCGACTGCACACGCAGCAGTGGCCTTGACCATCGCCAGGTCGTCTCTGAACCAGTGCAAGGCATGCTGCAGCATTGCCCAGATTTGTTGCACAATCCGATTTTCTATCTAAATAGTTGGTGAACAGTCGACCAGAGGCCCTTCAGTTTGGGCTGAATCCTGTGCCCCTTTTCCTGCCTTCGTTCGAAGAAGCGCGGGTGCCTCCACACGTACCAAGTGTGTTTTCTTTGTCCATTGATGGTCACTTGGAATGGCAAGTCTTTCCGCGATGCTTACTTGTTTCTGTCTGGTGGCAACTCAACAGAAGGAGAGAGATCAGTTACTACAACTGCTTCCGAAGTGTGACAGGGAGGCCCTCCTGGAGAACAAAGATCCGTTCGACAAAGAGGTATTCAAATCTCACGTTGCCCGCTATCACGCGTTGCTGGGGAAGGGCCTGCTGGAGCGTGACTCAAACACACAGTGAGTATCAGTTCCATGCTGCGACACGGATTTAGCTGCAAGCAGCAATTGACCATGATGCTGAGACCCGCCTGATGTGCGCCTCCTCGAACTGAACATTGGTATGGCGTTGGTGATCCTTTGATGCCTGCTGAATCGGATTACGTTATTCAAATGCATGACAAGAATGGGAATTGGGTAGAATGGCTGCCTGCGGTTTCGGCTAGGCACAGGGGACAGATCGCTGAGGGTGCAGCATGCCACAAATAGTTATGAATAGTTTATCGAAGTAACGATTTCAGACGCCGGGTCGTTGTGCTGTCATCACTGTCACCTATCTACTTGTTCAAAACATTGCACACTCCGTATCCACTTGCGTGCACACTGCCTCCTCATGCGCGCCACCATGAAAACGAGTCCACTTTGCGAATTGTGCGTCTATCCAAATGGACGGAGTGACAGCAGTGGGAGCTGGGCATGCTGTGGACTCCGGGCTGTGGAGTGAATGGCTGCAGACGTCTTCTCCTGACTATTTCTGCTGGTTGTCAGCTGGATACCTCCTAGGGGTCGCACGGACGAATCAAGGCTGCAGCGCGAGATGGCTCTGCAGATGCTGGCATTGCACATTGATCCCAAAGCTCTCCTTGCAGTCCAGGAGGGCATGCTGACAGTCCCAGACGCGCTGCTTGGCTTCGAGGTGGAAGAAGACGGGAGGAATATCGTAAGGCCAAGAAAGAATGGTTCTGGGGACAATGAATGACTCCTGCAATATAGAACATATCGGAATGGTTTGGTCATTATGTGCTTTCTTTAGGCGCTGTAAATGATTGGGACAGCGTGTCCCAGTTCACGATGGAAGCGGCTCGTTCAGCTCTGACATGCGAATAAGAGTGGGGCACTTGCCCAGGGGAGGGCACGTTGGGGTCGAAATTCGTTCGGATATGTGAT